GGTTTAGGGTTTACGGTTCAGGGTACGAGAAACATCGTGGTAATTACACGGGGTATACCTGACCCTCCAAGTAAGGCTTGATGCTTAGATTTTGAACTGTCAGCCTTTAGATTGGCAGGGTTGGGGGTGTTGGGGTTGAGATTGTCAAGAGGCCAGGTTTCCCGGTTTAAGTTCACACCCTCATAATTCGAGTTCCTCATACTAATTGGCGTCCCCAAACCTGTACAGCAACTAGTAGCAAAAAACTAGTATCCGATTTTTGGATTGATGGACCCTGCGGGAGGGGACGAAAAGACATGGAGCCCGAACCCTAAACCCTAAANNTAAACCCTGAAACCCCCAATCCTAAATCCTTAACCCCCAGTCCTAGATCCTAAATCGTCTTGGCAGCCTGTTGAAGATCTGCAGAGTTGCCTAGGGTGAGGAGCCTGTGTTTCAGTATAGATTAGTACGGGGATATGGGCAAACGTAACGTTTCTGGTTTAGGGTTTTAGGACTTCCGTGGTTGGGTTCCCTATGGGCAACGTACAATTTGAGGTTTCTACATGTGAGCTCTGTTCTCTTGCCTCTTGCCCTGCGCAGGCAGAGCTTTTTCAAAGGGAAAGACAGGAGGACTCCTTGAGCACATCGTGCCGCAGCGTTAACGATCACGGCTCACCGCCCACCCCAGAGCAAAACCATGGGACATTCTGACATCCCTCGATCCCAGTAGCGTGCCGCATCTTACATACTGTAACCAAGACGCAGTCTGACGCACTTTTCGTTACAGGTTGGAAGGATGCTCATAGGGCTTTCCAGGCCACTTTTGTGAAAGAAATGTGCATGGAGTTTCCCCGGCCTCCGCGCCCGTGGTGCCTCCCACCAGGAGCAAGCCCTTTTCTGCCTGGTCCAGTTCGTGATCGACCTGCAAGACATCATGGGGTTGAGCAAGTATAGTCCCCCATAAGTAGATACAAAATAGAATTCTCCAAAACCAAAGGGGGACTATCGGGTTCCGCCGTGTTGGACTTCAAGATTTATAGGTTTCAGGTGAAGGTCTAGGCTCTGGAGATTGAGGGTTCAGGGTTTAAGGTCAAAGTTGGGTTTGGAGATTGGTGGTTTAGGATTCAGGGTTTAGGGTTTGGGGTCCGGGTTTATGTGTTTAGGGTTGGGGTTCAGGTTGCAGGGTTTAGGGTTTGAGGTTTAGAGCTTAGGGCTCTTGAGAAAGGAGGGGCTGAGGGTACTAGGGCCTATACATTACGCCGTAAGGTTCAGGGAGCCTAGTCAGAACTGCATGACTTTAATTAAGGGCCCAAGTACTCAACACTCATATACTTACCCAAAACCTGTACCACAATGACGATTACCAAAATCCCAAGTATCTAAGTATTGGGTTCTTGGACCCTAAACCGTACACCCTAAACCCTATACATCCCAATAGATCCGCGTAGATCCCTGTATACCCCTTTTAAAGGGACCTAATCATTGGATAAGCACCTGATTATTGGGTACCTGGACCCTCAGGGTCAGAACATCGGAGGCAATCCTGAGGCCGAAAATCTGAACCCTACAGTGGGATTATGGGGGTTATATAGGGGTTATATAGGGATGACGAAAAAAAGAAAATGGAAACTACTATTTAGGGTTTAGGGTTCAGGGTTTCCCAGAATTAGGGGTACTTATTGGGGGTCTCAATAACAAGGTCTGCAGTTTTTTGGGGTCCATATCGGAGTACTACTATTTGGGAGGGTGTAGACCACACTGCACATCCCCTGTCTGAGGTGTGGAACACGGATTGCTATACACAAGCTTATGATACAACGGTACATCTGAAACCTCAGAACGCTACATTTCCCCGGAACGTCGAACCGAACCTGCAAGACTCACAGCTAGGGTTTAGGGTTTAGGGTCTAGGGAGGTTCTACTTACCCTTACTTGGGAAGGGCTTTGGGCTTGGGGCATCGGGCTTAGGGTAGCAAAACTGCTTATATCCGAACCCAAAACCAAGTAAATGACACCAGTTATATCCCTATTGTTGGCTCAGTTATGAAGTCCCTGGAACCCTCCAAGTAGGGGGAGATACCCAAATTTCTGCAACAAAAGAAGATCCTGGGAATCTTTCTGACAAATTGCCTGCAGTCCGCAGGTCCTACGACCAATAGCTCCAAACCCCAAACACCTCAAGCCTCCATGGACTTGAAGTAACCCTAAGCCCCTGAACCCTAAACCCTTAAAATCTCAAGCCCCCATGGACTTGAAGTAACCCTTAACCCTTAACACCTCAAGCCTCCATGGGCTCGAAGTAACCTAAGCCCCTAAACCCTGAACCCTTAAAATCTCAAGCCTCCATGGACTTGAAGTAACTCTAAGCCCCTAAACCCTAAACCCTTAAAATCTCAAGCCCCCATGGACTTGAAGTAACCCTTAACCCTTAACACCTCAAGCCTCCATGGACTCGAAGTAACCCATAGCCCCTAAACCCTAAACCCTTAAAATCTCAAGCCCCCATGGACTTGAAGTAACCCTTAACCCTTAACACCTCAAGCCTCCATGGGCTTGAAGTAACCCTAAGCCCCTAAACCCTAAACACTTAAAATCTCATGCCCCCATGGACTTGAAGTAACCCTTAACCCTCAACACCTCAAGCCTCCATGGACTTGAAGTAACCCTAAGCCCCGAATCCTCAACTCTAAGGACTTTAGGAGGGACCCCTATTAGGGACCCCTAACCCCATTACCAAATATGACCCGTATATAGTCATTATATAACCCCTATATCTCTAGGTAGTCCCCATACTAACCCCCATAAGCTACAACGGTTCCTAGTAAGGGTCCCTCCAAAAGGCCTTAGAAAAACCCTTAAAATCCCAAACACTGAATCCCGGAACCCCTAAAACCTAACCCCCCCAACCCTAAATCCTAAACCCTAAACCCCTAAACCTAAACCCTGAAAATCTCAAGCCTCCATGGACTTGAAGGTCAGGAGCAAAGAGAGCATCAATTTGTCCTTGGCGAAGAGCGAGTCGCAAACCTGGCAGGGTTTAGGTTTAGGGGTTTAGGAATTTAGGGTTTAGGGGTTTAGGGTTTAGGATTTAGGGGTTTAGGGTTGAGTAGTGACTATAAGGGATAATAAGGTTTATATTAGGGTCTCATTATATTCCTACTATACCACTATTATATACAGGGTGGGGGGTCCTCCTAAAGGATCCCTACCATTCTCCTATAATAGGGTCTAGGGTTTAGGGTTTTAGTGCCCGATTCATAAATGGGATCCCAAAACTTTTATGAAGTTTGAGACACCGAACGCTAGCACCTTAAACCGGGCTCAGCGAAGAAGCCCTCAAGCAGACATGCTAGCATCCAGAAAGACTGTCAGCCAGATGTTTGGTGGTATGACCATGGTTCGACTCAACAGTGGCACATTACTCATGGGGCAAACTGCTTGCCATCCATGCAGAGTCATTCGAAGCTATTAGTGTGGGGTGGATAACGTGTAAACCTTCAGCCTGTTGGCTATGCCATGAAGCTAGATCAACATGTTAGAGTAAGAAGGACAGTACTACTGAACAACCACCACAGCCAGAGCAGTGGGGACCAACATCATCATCAGCATCATCATCACCATCACCACCATCAGTCTTATCATGACCCGCCACTACCACCAAGATGCATGCAGAAGAACAACAGCATCGCTCATGGCTGTGGCTGTAACACTGCTGAACTGACTTTGACACTTACCATGATGGTGACGACATGGTGCTGCTGATGACGATGATGATGATGATGATGATAAAAATCATGGAGATGGTGAGCTCACTTTGTGCTTCCGACCCAGCATGCCCCGCCACCTAGTCATGCTTCTTAGATTCAACTTACAGACATTCGCGGGCGCCTTCTCGTAGAGGAGTTTAATGAACTGATTCTGCAGAGCCTCAGAGGCACATGAGTTGACTTGCATGGGGTTCATCTCGGGAAAAGTACTAGGGAATGTTGAAAAACGCAAGCTATTCTTCCAAACATGTTTGGGGCTTTGTGACCTTTACTCACCCAAGGTCCAAAGGCAGCTTGACAGCATTGAAGCGGGCCTATGTCTTGGGCAGGCGACTGGGTGGGCACTTTGAAACATATTCGTATATAGGGTCCCAACGGTAGGGAAAACATTAAACATCGCACCGGCCTACCCAGAAAGGTACATCTCTTGGCTGTCATCTTTAGCCGGGCAAGGGCATTTGTAAATCTCCAGAGGTGATCTGCCATGGGAAGCCGCAATCATTCCTATAAGCCCAGGCTTAGGGTCTAGAGTTGAGGATTTAGGGTTTAGGATTTAGGGTTGGGGATTTAGGGTTTAGGATTTAGGGTTGAGGGTTTAGGGTATAGGAGGTTCTGTCAGGATGGTGCTGTAGCACTTATAACTAACTTGCATACCGCTGGTGGGTATTGGACTGGGCCCCTACATAGTAGCCTAGTAACCCACTATATAATCCGCTGAAATAGCCTTGATATACCATGTTGAACGACTTGTTGGGAGCCGCCCGGCCGGATCTGCATGCATGAGACTGTAGCCAGAAGCCCTGCCCGGAGATCCGTTAGGGTTTAGGATTTAGGGTCTAGAGTCTAGGCATGACCATGACAATGGTACATATTTGCAGCAGCTCAGTATGAAGTTGATGTTCACGATAGTCCACGGGATCCCCAACCCTCAACCTGAACCGTTTAAACCTATAGATCTATGTATAACACCTACATGTTCTTTTAAGAGGGCCCCCTGAATCTTGTCAACTGCATCTCCAGGTAAGGTCTAAAGTCCAGAGACGAGGTCTGCAGCGTCTCTACAAGAAGCCTTATGCAGGCCATTGACAGATCTAAAGCTTCCAACCTTATGGGTTTGAAGATTCATTTTTGCTGATGTCGCGCGCTCATCTGCACGCATTGCTGCCGAAATCAGGGATGAAAAACATCTTAAGGCTCCGGATATCTCCACATAACTTGTACCAGGTCTGATTGTGCCGATTCTTCTCCCCTGAAGCTGCACCATAGTTCTGGAAAGTGGTGCTGGGCTATGACCCTAAAACCTATGATCTCTTAATGAGTTTAGACTACAGCTCACATGGCTGCTGTATACGGTCCTTTAAGCCAGCACTAAAGACAGCATGATGTAGGAGGGGTTCGTTTTTGGAGCTTCGAACACCTGCTCGAGCGTTTCGGGGTTGAGAATTTAGGGATTACAACTTAGGATGTAGGGTTTTAGGGGAAAAGATGTGCGACTACCATTAGTTGAGTCAAGTGAAAATAACATGGACAATGAATGAAATGCAAAATGGGTTTGTATCCGGCTTCTATGAAGAGATGATTAGGTGCAGGTCTGTTTGAACTACCCCACGCGTCATTACCATAACTTGGCAAGGATTCTAGAACCATAGCATTTGCAAACTTCAGGGCCTAGTTCTGTCACAGGGGCAGTGAGTCGCCGTTGCAGATTGCGCTCTGGCTTTTCCGCAGTCTTGATGGCGAGCAAGAAAATCTCAATGAACCACTCGAGGCCTGAATCAAATGAGGATTAATTAAGGCTTTAGGGTAAGGCCCTTGGCGACCCTGCGAAATAGATGAGGAATGTTTGGCGATTCCGTGTCCGAACTAAGGAGATAGCGAAATTTGCAATGAGAAGTCCTCACGTGGGGAATCAAAACACCAGCCCTATAAGATCTATAATGTTCACTGTTAACATCCCAAGGATTTGCCAACAATTGCGGGCGAGAGCTCAGGTAATAGACCCTATAGACAGTATAAACCCTATTACTATTATCTCTAGAAGCCCTACAGAAATTGAACGTTGAGATACCCAGTCAGGTGTTAGGTGCAATGCTCGTATCTACTTCTGACCTACAAGCCCTGCAGCCAAACCGTCAATTTTGAACTACGGTTGACACTCGAAATCACCGCATGTGGCTGATTAGCGCATTCTTCGGGAATTATGGCACTATACCCCAAGGGTCAGTGTAGGGATATAGTATTCACTTCTAGATTCTAGAGCATCAGTATGTACTTATACCTCAGTGGACCCTTTGGGATAGCGTGCATAGGTCATGCCGGATTCCGAACTGGAAAAGTAGTACTCGGACCCGTAAATGGCCGGCTTCCCCTAGCACATGGAACCTTGTCCTTGACATTCTGGATTCTGGGTTGCTGTTAAGGAACTTAAGTTACTATATTGGGGAAACCATATTAGTTACGATATATGCCAATTATGGCAACTTGATTTTAAGTTCCTTCACAACAACCCAGCTTTGGCAACTCCACGTAGCCGCGACTGAGCTTGATCCCTAAGTCCATCCCACAAATCATCGGTGCTTAAGATTACCGAAGGGCTCCTATGTAGCTCCCTTTTGGATTTGTTATGGTGTCGTGGAAATGGGTTACTGTTGATGGAGGAAACCTTGGACCACCTAGGACTCTCGAAGTACTGTAATTCTTGGGACATTGGGCACTTAAGGTGATACAAGATGTCCTTCTACCCGCACCCACGAAACCACTGTTAACCCCAAACCCTAAACACTAAACCCTAACAGGACCTCTACAAGGTTGAGGCTTCTGGCGACCCCGGGCTTTAAGGCTTAGGATCTGGGTTTTAGTTGGGATTTTAGAGATTTTGTGGTTTAGGGGTTTAGGGCTTTTGATTTTGGATCATTTGTTCAAGAGCCCTGTTGGCCCTTACCCGCTCGAAAACTGCAAGCGTGAGTTCATAGCCGACTGCAGAAGATGTCTAAAAGAAAGTTAAAGATGCCTGCTCTGTATCTACGTTAAAACATGCTTTTGTATGCAACTTCTGTTTCCCCTAGCCTAGAGACGGGCGCACAGACGCCACCTCATGTGAAGGTTTCTAAGCAGTTGGCTCCCATGTTGTGGTCCTTACACTGGTTGGAAGACAGCTGAAATACGCGCCTGGTTCCAGGGATTGGGGCTTCTGGCTATATAAGCCCTAAACCCTGAACCATGGGCCGTTGAATCTAAGCTAGCAACTCAAGGTTGCAAATTGGTCACTCTGAGAACGGCATAACACGGAGTGTTACGTAAAGCTACGCTCATGTTTCGTGGGGGTGTGTCGGTTCATGTCCATTCTAAGGTTGAAACCATGGGCCCCAAGTATGCGCCCTTAACCCTGGGATCCTTACACATCTACTATATGCCCTATATGTTCCCTTGAGAATCCACTAGAAACAGGGGGATCAGGATGATGGAAGACTCTGCACATGCGGTGGCATCACAGGTTGTTGAAAATCAGAAGCGTCAGCCTACATATCCCAAAGGCAAACCAGACTTTATGAACAAGAAATCAACAAGGGGCACAGGGAAACCACAAGCTCTCAATGACCCCGAAATCAAGCTAAACTTCAAACTCCAAGAGTTGCAGGACATTTCCGCCCAGCAGCTGTACTGATACATGGGCTCCACCTGCCGCATGCACGCACTGCTTGGACTAATCCCCTTAATGTTACAAACACCTGCTGATATGCAATCATCCCGATGCATTGTCGTATACCAATCAGGATTTCTACGCAGATCTAATACTTGGGGGGGATTAAAACAATCTAAGGGAGATAAATCATGGGACTAGGAGCGCTACAATCCCAGTTTTGGTTTGTATCCTGGAGAATGTAGTACCGTCCCCCTCCCCTAACCCCGGAGTCCTTTCAAGTTCCAAGCATCGACCGGTCTAAGGTGCAGCCTGCCTACATTGATGACAAGACTTTCTCGAAAGTCTGGTGGTGCCTTTCTGTTCCCGAAAAATCACAGCCTATGTCCCTAAATCCCGTGAGAAGGATCTCTACATGTCTGTTTGTCCTCCTATGGAATTACAAAAAAAAGCCGCCAACAGGCCCAAACTGTGTACTCGACTCAAGCATCTGCATTCAAAAGGGGACTTTGCAGTAGAACCCAGAGATCTGAGCTTCATGTTAGGGTCGTAGGGTGTCTTAGAGTTCCGGGTCTGCAGGATCTTGCAGGGGATGAGGCCCATCTTGTACCCCCGCTTGATTTTCTATAGCACTCTAAGCCCAAACTCTCATTTCTTGCATCAACGAATTCCCCACCCTAGGGCTCCCGGATACCGAAATTAGTAGGTTGCTGGGCTATGTAACTATAGCGTATATAGAACCCAGAGTTCATTGTTGAGGTAGCTGGAGCGGTAGGGCAGCTCCCAAAAAACAAGTTTCTAGGGACTTTAGGAGGACCCCTAATAGGGACCCTTAATCCCATTACCATATATAACCTTTGTATAGTCCATGGGCTACAAGGGTCCCTATGAGGGGTCCCTCCAAAAGTCCTTAGAAAGTTTAATGGTCGTTTGGAGCTGGCTATGTTCCAGTCCTCCCAGGTTGGTTTTTCGGGAGTCTCTATATCAACTCTACTATATGAACTGTAGCCTAGGGACTCCTTGAATGGGAAAAATATTCGGGATTTTATAGGGGGCTACTACAGGAGTTATTAAGGGAGATACTAGGAGTTTAGACTATGGCTCATATACTCTGCGAAGGGCCATCATAGGCCGCAAATGCTGATCGGTCTCATGCCAACCATCTTGCAACATAGGCATCAGCTAAGTGCCAACCCCAAACATTCTGATGGAGCAGTCCTTCGTTTTTTTCCCAACGGCTTTCATTGAGCTCCACCAGGACTTCAAACTACCCTGAGCCTCAAACCCTAAACTATAGACCCTACGACCAATACAGGGTTTAGGTTTTAGTGGCTTAGGGTATACAACCTCTGCAGGAGGTATGCATAGGCGAGCGCAGCAACAATACAAACACAGAGTAGCTATCCCGAAGAACCACCTAAACAAGAAGCTCGTAGGCCTGGATCCGGCAGGCATCCCATATAGAATCTTGAGTACAATACCTAGTGATGAAGTATGGACTCGGGCCTGAAACGAACTTATCACAAATGATCTGAGCCATAATCTTAACTCCTAGCATCCCCCTGAATGACCCCTATACTAGACCCTAAACAATCCTCTACAAAACCCCTTTCAGGATTTCAGACTCAAGCTCACTCTGGGGCTCAAGTATACTATATCTAATGGGCCTTGTGTCAACTTTGAGCGATGAACTAAGGGGAGTAGGGTTTGGGAGGCTTATGCCTTGCAGAGGTCTGCGATGACGAAGAACATCGCGGAGCTTCGCACGGACACGGGCACCTTCCCGGATGGATTTAGGGCTTTGGGTTTAGGAAGGAGCTTGGATGTAGGGCTAGGAGATGTTTGGGGTAATATAAGGACAATGGGAAAGAGAACGGAAACTACTATAGTCTATTAGGCATAATCTAAACTCCAAGTATCCCTCTTAAAATCCACTATAATACTCCGCTTTGGAATCCGCTACCCCCCCTCATGGAGTTTAGACCATAGCTTATGTTGGGGTTATACTAGGGAATAAGGGTTCCAGGAATAGGAACGGATCTGTTTCCAATCTCGCTCGGCTTGAAGCGCAGGAACGGATTAGGGCTTATAGGTTTAGGGTTTAGGGTTTATGCGCTTTAGGGTTTCTGGGTTGAGGGTTTATGGTTTTATGGCTAAGGTTCTATGGGTTTAGTTTATGGGCTTAGGGTTTATTGGTTCAGGGTTTCTGGGTTTAGGGTATCTGGGTTTTATTTGTTTAAGGTTTTTGGGCTTATGTGTTTAGGGTCTCAGGCCAGCGGTCCGGGGGGCAACAAACCTGTGCGGGCAGTCCCTACAAGGTAACCTCACCAAAACCGCAAATGTCTCATGCTTGTGTCTTGGGACCCAAGCTTAGGGCCCTCAACGAGAGGCAGGGACCTACAACAATCGTATGATAGTAGCTAGGTTCTTGTTGTGGAGGTTGGAGCTGCAAAGTATGCCTTCATACGAACCCAAGCCAGAGTACACCTTGTCCCTTCCAAGGCACGTAGGTTTCGCGCGTCTCCTGCACCAATGCCTGCCTGAGGAGCAGCACGACAGTACTTGAAGGTTCGTTGGGAACTCAGAAGAAAATGCTGCCATGTAGGATACCTGCAGCCGTAAGTTAAGGGATGTACAGCACTGTTACTAACATGCTCTAACTACCACGGAACCTCCAAGGCGCACACTTGAGGGCTGTTGTAAGGCTGCAATGAGGTTCATAACATGTTTACATACAATGTACCTGAAGTCATTGGGGCCAGAAAGCTCCACAACGCGTTATGGGCTTGGGGCTTGCCGTTCATGCTTAACTAAGGAGGTGCAGCAAACTAGAATCACTCCTCCTCTATGTCATGCGGGTGGGGTCAGGGTCTTCTGCCGAGAAATATGAAGCCTGTGTAAATACACTCCCCAAAGCGATCACCATGGATATATATATATATATACATACACAATTTGCTACATGTCATACATCAAGGCTTCCCTCAGGATATAATACGAGCAACGTGTGGAAGTGCTTGGCAACTACATCCGGAAATACGTGCAAGTGGGACTGCCTGCGCGCGCTCGTTGGGACCTACATAAATTCTGCATCCTCTGTATGACGGCTTGCTTATACCTGAGGAGCAGTAAACTGAACCTGGAAAAAGATGCAAATACCATGATCACAGGCAATACCATCTCCACCGTCGCCGCCAACGGCACAACCGCAATAAGAACCGCAGCAGCAACCCTTACGAGTAGCGACAAGAAGAATACTCACAATCCTATGTGCGCAGGCCGGGTGACGTCTTCTCTTGCTCCTTCACGCGCTCCTCGATGCCTCAGTGGGTTTCATGCCCGTTCATGTCTACTCCAAGCTGCCTTTGCCCTAAACCCCTTTTTAATGCGTTTCCCCACATATTTTCCCCAATTGTTTGGAACGCTTCTTACCCAAAACAAACCATCCGTTGGCACTAGGATTTGTTCGACTACCATATGCCAGAAAATTGGAGACACACAGGCTCCATGTATGCTGTTGGCTACAGAAAATCACGGGAAACAAGTCCAGGAAATCAGGAGTGAGCTATCATCAAGGTGGTGTTTTGGACCAGTCTGAAGGAGCTATGCTTTGGGAGTTCGGGGCTGAACTTTAGTTGGGTGCATTTGCATCTGTAACCCTTCAACCTCTAATACCTTAATCCCTCTGAACCCTTAACCCAACACTACCAAATCTTAACCCACGAAGCACTTGGTCCCTCGCAAAAAGCAAACTAAAGGTGCCCAACTGCGTGTGGATGTGACCTTCGAGTTCGCCAAAGTTGTGATGAGTTCCTATAGCGGCAGCTAGCATTTGCCGGATTCAGGATTCAGGGGCTACATGGGGCGTAGGAGTTTGGGGTTGAGGACTTTGGAGTCTGTGGAGCCGATGCCACAGCCCCTAGAAAGGTTTCCTTGCAACATGGTACAAGTACCAACGCACGTTCTACTGCGCATGGCGGAATCTTGCACCATGTGATATGCCCCATACTTGTCCTTAGCTTGGCCATTCCGATGTGGTGAAAGATACCCGTTTGTAGATTTGTCTGTTGTCTTCTTCTTCCATGCCCTGAACGCAAGATCCGTATGGGTTTTTAACTAAGAGAACATTGCGAATGTGGACACACCCCGGCCCAGGACATGTGGTACCTGACGTGGGTATACGAGTTGAGAGTATGTGCCAACACATTTCCTAACCCAGAACCCTGCATTTCCTAGGGCTATAAGTGTATAAGCAGCACCTACATTGGGTCCTAAACGGTCTATAAGTTTTACCTGCATTGGGCTGTGTAGATTACCAGGGAATGAAGCATCCCACGTCAGGGCCATGCGCGCCAACTCCTTTCAAGCCCAAAAACCGAACGCAGCGGCCCCAGCCTCAACCTTCCAAACCTACGCCCTGGATGCTGACACTCTGTACATGGGTGGTTGTCATAATTGTGGTCCCTTTTCGGGTCCCTATTATAATACGGCACCTAATGTTTAGGGTACCCAAAAAAGGGACCACAATTCTGACAACCAGCCATATGTTCTCCGGTAACTGCAAGATTTGTTCTTCAAGTAGCAGAGCCGTCAACCTCTTGGTGTAGTGCACCTACCACTAAACCCTGAACCCAAGACCCAGTCCTCATCATCCAAGATGTTGCCCTTGGAGTTTGACAGCAGCTCGAGAATCTTGTCCTCCCCATCCCAAACAGATTTCATAGGGTTGATCAGGCCTCGGGACACTTCATGATTTCGGCACCTCCTGGATCTTGGAACTTTGTACCAGGCAAATCTCCGGTAGTGAGCTTGAGCGTCCGTCTGGCGTGCTGGAGCTTAGCAGGGAATAAAGGAGCCGGAGAGAGCACTTCGCGAAAACCGAGTAGGCCGCATGAACTCCCAATATGATCCTTGAAAAGCATCCGGCAAGATCACAATGAATACTGGGTCTTTCCTCTGAAGAGAGTGTTCCGAACACGGAGGTTCCATAAAGCCAGCTCAATAGCTGCAGCAAACCGTGGGGTCCCCAGACTGAGAAACTCGAAGCCCTTTCTGTGCATGGCCGGCTGCTTTGTGGGGAACACTCTACTATATCTGAGGAACACGTCCGAAAATCAGAAATCCTAGATTGAAATCAGACTTCCCACTTGCCGGGAACTCTTAACCCTAACCCCTTGAATCCCTGCGCCGTGGGTAGCAATTGGCGTGACTGTAAAAGTTCCCACAAGAAGCTACATAAGAGTTCCATCCTTCTCCCAACCCTCAACCCCAAACCCTAGACACGGAAACCTAAACCTGAAACCGCTAAACCCTAAGTCCTAAACCCTGAACCCCTAAACCCTAAAGCCTAGAACGAGTTAGGGGAAAAATATTTCCCAGCCCAAACCCAAACCCTGAAGCTTGAACCGTGAAGCCCACCTACAACCTAAACCAGGAAGTCCTCAATCTCCTTCAGTTGCGCCTTGCTCTGTGCACTCTCAATGATCCTGAAATGCGGAGCTTTTCATTACCAACCTCTCTCAAAAGGTCCATAGAGCTATATCGTATATACTCGGGTCCTGAAGTGGTTATCGGGGAAAGCCAATGGGAACAAAGTACATGCTATATACCTGCATGGACCCTTTTGGTCTGTATACAGTGTAAGGTTTGGGGCTTTGGTTTGGGCTTGTTTGGGAATCTGTACATGCAACATTCAAAACAGTCATCATCATAATCATCAGTGGGAGCTAGACTGACCTGCATCCACTTTGCAGTGGCCTCTCTGCCGCCAGCTTGGCCCTGTATGCTAACCAATGTATGCGAATCTTCCCAGATTATGAACAACACTCCGCCTCGAAAGTATTACACGTGTCCTGCCATGATACGGGGACAGGTAGGTGACACACATTAGTGGAAAGGGGATTGACCGTGTTGCGCTGAAGCCCTTGCCCCGGAATGGACTAGACCACAAGCGACATGCACAAAACACACACCTCCCAAACGCAAGTGCCGCAGCTGCAGCGCCTTGCAACTGGTAGCATTCGTGCAAAGCGAAACAGTAGCATGAGCCCTTCTGGCCACTCCAGAGAATGTCCGAAAGTAATTCGATACTCCATCGTAGGAAACTTGAGACTTGTGCATTCATGCCAAGGTTTTGGGCAGGCATACGCTGACCAGGCGCATGGACACTTGGGGAGGGTTTAGGGTGTGCCTGGAACATGAAGTATCTCGAATTCCCTAGAAATCTTCCCTCCCTGAACCTGAGCGCTATCAACCTGCCTTGCAGACTCGAATGACTTAGTAACTACTTACAACTGGGCTACAAGACTATCTATAATATAATCCCCCACATGTACCCTATATGGGAAAAGTCCAATACAGATATATATGTGTATATGTACATATATATATATATGTGTGTGTGTATATATGGTTATAATCCTAGTACAGAAGCAGTTACTAAGTCTTACTGTAGCTCGATCCGAAAACCTAGGCCCTAAACCCTTAATATAACCCTAATATAACCCCAATACAAGCCCGATATAACCCTAATACAGAATCTTGGGTATTTCATAATAAGATCCCCATATATTCCATATTCTATCTACTGAAGGGGGACTAGACCCTAAACCCTAAACCCTTAACCCTAAGCCCTATATTCTAGCTACTTAAGGGGGACTATAAACCCTTATGCCCCAGGTTATGCTCCAGACCCTCAATGGCCGCAAAGATTCAAATTCTGCCGCTTCTTTTCAACTTCAGGCTCTTCCTGACACGAGGGTTTAGGATTTAGGATTTAGGGTTTAGGATTTAGGGTTTAGGATTTAGGCTTTAGGGCTTAGGTTTAGGGTCTAAGCCCTAATCTCCTCACCCCAATATCACCCCACCCCCAACACCCCCTTTACAAGAAATAGCCCAATCATGTTATAACATTGCAAATCTTTGATATTAGGGAAAAGGCTATAACCTGTTGGAATCTCTATGCTTGGGGGATTGTTTGCTACCAGAGGGGGGACTTGGTGTGTTCGTGGCTCATGGTGGTGCATGTACAGCGTAGTATGCACGGTCTACCGGCCTAAACATTTCGAGTTCAGGTCTGAGGTTGTAGAGTCCAAGGGGTAGGACTTAGAACTCCAGGGATTCTACTACATGGCTCGCTACTGAGCGCAATGAGACGGCTGAACCCCATACCCTGTGTCATCTGCCACACAAACACTACAGAAAGCTAATCCAGTGAAGGGCCTAGGGTTTCAAGACTCCTGTTTAGCATACATATTCGGTGTAAGAAATTAGGTAAAAGGGTGTCAGCTTCAGAATCTGACAAAGGCCGCACCCACCAACCCTAAAGCAAGCAATAGAAACCATTCTTGAAGGGCCAGGACTGACAGTAAGACCCTGGCTACTCAGAGGGCCAGGGGTAAGTAGTTTAGATAAGTAGTTTAGGGCTGGGGCTACTGGTTGCGATATGTCAAAAAATTAAGCTTTCAATGCTTCTCGATTACTTACTCAATGCCCCTGACCCTTCCCAAGTGGCTGTCTGGCACCTAAGGTTATGGAATGCATACTAAGGCACAGGGAAACAACCCTGAACCCCCTCAATGGGGTTTGGGGCCTAGTGTTCAAAACCATGTGACTCGATTTCCGAACAAAGTCCATGTAGACCCATAATTAAGCTCAGATCCCTAGACTCCGAACTCCTTGACCTGAGCTTACCAGCATGGTTGCTCCGCATGCCAGCTCGGAACAGTCCAGCCTTTCAAACCTTTTAGTGTCCGACGCTACGCATTTGCGGCTTCAGGACGCTACTTCGAGGTTGAGGGATGTTCATCGGTACCTTTAACTCGCACAAACAAATGCTGTGGACCGTTTGTACTGATATCTCACTACCTTGGAATTTCCAACTGGCCAAGGCAAGCTCATCTTTGGAATGGGGGTTTCTATAAGATCCTTCGCCCTCCACATAAGCTGTCTGTACTCACCGCTTTTGTCCGCACAGTCCCTGCGTACTCCCCATTTTGACCAACAAATAGTTGGCCTAGCACTTGAGGACTTCAGCCACAAAACTTTCTTTGATCAACCCTAAGGCCGAATGGACATACATGCGCTGTAAAGCCATATAACGCCCGTAACCTCCAGGTCCTGATGCCCTGCCCTAAACCCTAAACCACGATCCCGGAGACCAGAACTTGCGAGATGGAAGCCCGAACTTAAATTAAACATACATGCAGATGAAGAATCGTGATTCCAATGCTGAATTGCGGGCCGTAATCTGTAGTTTGAGACACCTCATGCCGCCGTGAGATCTGCAAACCCGCATTAACAAAACCGCGTGCTGCACATTCCTCATGAAATTCTCTCAAGTTGCCGCGAACCGCAGCTTTTGAACCAGGAGGTTGGACGTATGCCTGGAAGTCTCCCTGGACCCCAATGACAACCCGAACCCTTTGAGCCCTGAACCCCGTCTCAACCCCAAAAGTACGTTAAATCGAATCGTTATTTTTTAAAGCTCTGAATACTTGTGAGGTTCAGGTAACCCTGAAACCCTATCAATCCTAGACCCTAAACTCCTGAGCCGAAACCCTAAATCCTAAACCCCTAACCCTCAATCCTAATCTCTGAATCCTAAACCCCAAATCCTGAACCTTAAGTCCCCAAAAATGTCCTTGGCCACGAGGATTCCCAACATCTGATCCTGCAAGCCATCCGGCGTCACCATGAAGTTGAGCAGGGTAACCTGCAATACCAGGATCTAAGGTCCCAGGGTTTAGGGTTTAGGATTTACATTAGGGTTGAGGGTTCGCGTTAGGTCTAAGGGATTCGGGTTTTGGGGTTGTAGGGATTTGGGGATCTAGGTTTTAGGGTGTTGGGCTTGTTATTTACAAGGATCTTACCCCAACCACGGAGTATCAAAATGAAAAGAACATGGAACATGAGTGTTTCCACCAAACATGTGATATTAGGGGTGGGGGGTTGGCGGGGGGATGTTAAATTTGGTACGAGGGGATTAGGAATATCTGGCACCTTCCCAAAATACACGCAACATCCCTCCCAACCTCTTTATCATGTACATTTGGGGTCCAGGTGGTTACTTTACGTAACCGAGAAAAAACAAGTCTTTTGGGGGCACCTTTTTTCGGGGGTTTTGGGCAGTACTTGATATCAAAGGTTTCCTGAATGCATGCAACCTTGCAGAATGTGTTATTGTCAGCTAGAATCTGAGGGCTTAGGATCCAGCATTCAAAATGCAGGGTTTGGTGTGTCAGGATTGCGTAAGTTCGCGAGGTTTTGTGGCTTTGGGTTCTAGGCCTGACTATCGCATAGTTGAGAAGGGGTCCCAACTGAGGATTTTTGGAAAACTTTCCAAACTACTCGTAGCTTTCTGCATTTGTGACCGTGCAAGCGGAAACAACTTAATTCATGGGGTACCTACCACTGCTACTATCATTAAGGGCCATGAGGGGATCTGCCCTCCTGCACTAGCCGACTACCTCAACAACCCTCTCCTGCCAAAGATTCCGCTGAGGTCCAAAACTCAAAGCCCAAAAAAAAGTCAGCCCTAAACGCTACCCTAAGCCCTAAACCCCCTTACACGGCAGTCCAACCCTGCACTGAACCAGCCTCAAAACAGACCCCGTCCTCGCCAGAAGACGATTCCAACCATATCATCTTGTAACCCTATGCATCTCCACCCCGCACTACACGGCACATTGTGATATAACATCACGCGATCACCCACACAAAGTTTACACCCCAACAGCCGTACAGGTAAGATGCAAATACTTGAGACACCCATGAACCGCAAATCGTGCACATCGAAAGCCACAATCCCAAACCTCTACTACCCGAATTTCAAATCCCTGAACCCAAAATATCCGAAGCTCTGAGCCCCTGAACCCCAAACCGTCACGCGCCTGTACACAGATTTCCGGTGAGTAGTGTGGGTTCGGCAGCTTGGTGGTGATAAACAAACGGAAGTCCTGCAAACTGAGTGGCCTAGGGCCGCCGGGGGTCTAAAAGAGATGATTTAGAAGTTAGGGATATGCCGCATACTCCGCAAGGACTACAGGTGGTCCAAGAAAAGCCAGCATGTGGGTTTCATTGGGGCCCCGCCTTGTCCCGCTGAGCTTCCATGGATACAAGGCACCGGAGGGTGCGTCAGGGTGTTGGGGCCCGGGATCATCCCCTAAGAAGGCTTCCCAAAATCTAACAGCGAGAAACGTAGAATGCTCCAGAATCTATGTAGAGACTGCAGAATCCCTCGCATGCGCTTGACCCCTCAGAGCCCCAAACCCTAACCTGTTCAAAAACTCCTCGTTGTACTCCACGGTGGAGTCACCAAGCCGAATCCTGTAGACTTTCTGTGTGCGGAGCTTGGGTTTAATTAGGGATAAGAAGGGTAGATCCTCTTTGTTGGGTTGGTTCAGGGTTTAGTAAGTTCTAGGACAAAGCGCGAAACGGCAAGACAGATCGCAATTGGACAATCTATATTAGGGCCTTAGGGTCTGTGGTTTATGACGGTTCCGCTTACAGAGCTGAACACGCACGGCGCATGTTGAAAACCCCTTCTCATACATGCATGCGCCGGCGTGGAGAGCTTGGGAGTCGCAGTTTCGGCGCCGCCGTGCAGTATTGCATGACGGGGGATTCACGCACAAAGAAGGAGCAAAGAGCAAACTGGCCTGCGCAAAGGGCGTGAAAAGCCTCAAATCCATCAATTGTGGGTTCCACTTTGCAACCCCAGTGCTCTTTGCCGCGTGCAAGGCCATAAGCTGAGGTGTCGCTTCCAAATGTCGATACAGCGCATCCCAGAGACCCCACCCCAAACCCTTGCCTCTGCTCCCATAACCCCTATAGTCCCTCACCACTACTTGCTCACTAGCTGATGAATTTCAAGCAGACCCTTACCTTCAACCCTAGATTGCAACCTAAACTCAAAGATCCTGAGCACCTGATTGCGTCCAAGGGTCATGATCATGTTGCCTGCCTTGAACTTGGCCTTCTGCAGAAGAGGCTCCAGCAGCGGATCTAACACCTTTAGATTGTCAAGCTCACATCAACGGGTCCACGCAGCGCCCAGTAAGGGGTATAGAATATAAAGGGGTGATCTGATATAGAGACCAGGGAAGCTATATACTGATTTCAAAGGCCTGTATTCTAATGACTCCCTACATGGTCACATCCATGCAAGAGTAGGTGCTATAAGCATAAAGGCGGGGATGCCCGAAACAATGACCACAGTTCCCACAAGCTGCAAGAGCCCCCCCCTACCTAGCAGTCCCTCAAGTTAGCATCAGAAAGGCCTTAGTCTGTTGGAGTCCTACAATGCCGCTAGGCCCCTAGACACCACTTTTACATTGAATCCCATGATGGCATGGGTCCAAATTACTGTTCACAGAATGGCTGGGAATATATATCTATATGTAATATTCCAGGGACCCATACTTTACTAGGAACCCCACTATAGGGACCCGTATCATGATGAATTTAAGAAACTCCCCGTGTACCCCCAGTCCTACAGCACCCGAAACCCTAAACTACAACACCGGGAACCTCGAGGTTTTAGGGTTCAGGGTTTAGGTTTCACAGTTTAGGATTTCTCCTTAGGGTTTAGGGTTGAAGGCTGAAGCTCGGAAACGCTCTCAGACGTGTCCATCCCTCGACTGCGCATGAACATTTCCTATCTATGCAGTCGCCTGGAGAACATTTTTCACTGGTAACCGGTAACCCAGAACCGAAGGTCCCGGTAAACCCTTGACGGAAAACTCTGAATTCCTAAATTCTAAGCCCTGAACCACCATGTGGGGTGAGGTCGGGAAGATCGGTACAGTTTGCCCGGGCACCTCGGGAACGTTCTCAATAAGGACGGGCAAGCCCTGCGAGATACCGACTTCCAGCTTGCGGGCATAGTTGTTCCTCGCAGGCTCTAGGATTTTCGGGTGCTAGGGTTTTTCGGGTTGTTCAGGGTTTGAAGTTTATGTTGGGCTAGGGGCTTGGCGGCTTTAGTCCATGGCTTCTGTCTAGGATTCAGGGTTCGGGTTGCTTTGACAACATCCGATCTACATACTTAGATGGTGTCATGACAAAATCACAACAAAGGTGATGGTAATGGTGGTGGTGTTGAGCACGGCAGCAGTAGCGGTGGCGGCGGCGATAGTGATGATGGTGATAGGGATCATGACAACTTGCGTTTGCGCGTCATAGGCCGCGGGAGCAGCAGTTGCGATAGATAATGTGTTGTTCTTATTCGATAACTCTCTGGAGGGGCTTGTGCCCTTCAGAGCAATGGAGCTTTTAAGGACAACCTTCTTTTCTGATTTGCGCATTCAACGTCCACAGCCTTTGAACAGCTTGGAAACCGTCGCCATTACTTAGAGTTGAAGGTGTGTTGCTCCAAAATTGCGGAGGGTTGCCTCTGCAGTGGCCTCCGAGGCAAAACATGCCCTTCGATGCCACCAAGATCCCACATTTGGCCTATGCACATGAACTGTCCTCCAAACTCCTAGTATCCCCGTGAATAACCCTATTTCATCCTCTATACAACCCCCCTTTGAGGAGGTTTAGACTACGGTACCAAGGCAAGCTGTTGCTATCAGCTTTGAATCGTCTGATAAGCTGCACCAAATAAGAAGCTGCTTTGGCATGTGCACCGCACACCCCCACTTCGGTCTCAGCAAAGCTGCCGCCCGAAAAGACAAACAGGCAAGCTCTCATAAGAGGTATGGAGCAATGGCCTGAGAGGATGCCCCAAAACCCAACACTCAGACTTAGACCCTTTAACCTCCGTCAACCTCCAAAGCTGGCCCCTACTAAAGTGTGGTAGTCGCAAATATTCTTCTGGTGAAAGTTGATATGTGTTACTGCTGTTAACCGTGCTGTTAGTGGACTCTAGTCATACGTAGTAGTAGCAATAGTAGTAGAAAAGGTAGAACTAGGAATACATGTAAAAGTAGAAGAAGTAGAGGCAGTAATAGCAGCAGTGGAAGAACAACACTTCGGGTAGCACAACCAAAAAAATCAAGGAATAGGCTGACAGTACTGATGCAGCCAGGATTCTGGGAGAGGCGAAGAACAAGCAGCTTATCGCCCTTGGAGTTTCGAATCCACTTGTTGGCCTCCACAACCATGTCAGGCGAGTATAGGAGCTGTCGGTGCGTGTGGTGGTAAGCAGCAGTAGCGGCAGCAGCAGCAGCAGCAGCAGCAGCAGCAGAGGAGCTACAGTTACCTCCCATCAGCACCGCGAACACCACCGCAATCGCAGGTGCCGTTGCCGCTGCGGCCACCACCACAATCATGACTGCTACTACCACCCAACCTATTCGTGCGTCATTGCGCCTTGATAAGGCTCAGCATGTCTCGGATGATTCAGGCTTGATGTGCCCCAGGCACGCCAAAGTCAGCGAACCCGTTCAGCCAGCGGGTTGCTCAAGCAACTAGTGTTGTGCGGGCTCAAGCAGAGCACTTCAACCGCATCGCACAGCACCACGTAGCAACTAGGGTGTGGGGTTTAGGCAGGGTATGTAATGTATGGCTCAACAGATTTAGGACATTTTCCGAGGCTCTTCACAACATGGCATAGTTTCGCATGCAAGGGCTGCATACATCCTGCAAAGCGCACACACAAACGCCACCACCCCAATAGATCCGAGCCCACAATTCAAGCCTACAATTCAACACGCAAATCCCTGAGATTGGATCCAACCTGGCTGTCACCAAAAAGCTGTCACCAAAATTGCCAGCCCCCCAGCCATTATGCCAACACTTCTCTGCTGGCTTGTGGTATTTACTGTTGAGTTGTAGCTACTTAGGTCTAAGTGTAGAGGCTTTCGCTCTAAACCCTGCTAGCGTTCAAGGCCTACCTGGATCTGTGGGTCGATCATCAAAGGCCACCGTCTTGAGTTGGACAAGATCAAGGCGTTGTCGATGGACACCTGGTACCACTATGGGCTATTAGACCCCAAAATTCCTTATTCGGACCCTATTAAGGGTAGATTAGGGTACCCTTAAGGTCTAATAGCCCATAGTGGTATGTTGAGAAACTTGTAGATACCATGTTGCTGGTTCAGAATTACGTTCTGGCTTCTACAACTCTACGACCCACATCCCGCCCCAAGCAGCTGGAGTAATTGTGCCGGTTTTCGCCACTCATGACAAACCCTAAGTTTCCTAACCTAAGCTTGGCTACCCTAAACCCTACACCTACTGGCTTGCAATCCTGGCTAAATCATGCTGCGTCTTATGAGAATCAGGAAGATCGCTTGCCTTGGTTTCATTCCTCTGGTCTCAAGAGTTTCTTGCTGCATGGCTCTCAAATAGGCATACCAGGAGGATGTGGGAACAACATGAACGAATCAGATCCAGCATCATAAGCTGATCCCTAAATCCTAGAGCCGGAATAATTACTCTGAACCCTAAGTTTAGAGTTAGAATCAGACGAAAGTCTAGTGGATAGGGGCATCTAAGCCTTAACCCTAAGCCCTTAACTCTGGAGGCCCCAAAATAGGACAGAAGGGACTCAGAAGTTTCAGAGGGTCTGTCCTATCCGGGTCTTGTTGGAGATCTACCTGCCTGGATTTAAAGTCTAGAGTCTAGGGATAATTAGGGTTTGGGGCGCATGGAGGATGTCCGGTAGGTCTGCTCCGTATGTGGGGAAGCGTTGAAATTTTTTTTTTGGCCTCGGGCCCCTCGTAAGCCGCTAAACCCCAAACCCTAGCGCATATTATCAAGGTTCAGGGTGTATGGTTTAAATATCAGCGAGTTCTCGCTGCAAAGATCCCATCATGCGTGCATTCCCCTTTGGGTTTGCTAAGACTTTGAAAATTCGACACTAACAGTGAAGGGGCTGTTGGCATAGATGCTTAGGAGTTGATGGCTTCCAATAAAGGGGGCTGCCTTTCACGCCCCAAAATCCTTTTACAACCACTCCCCAAATAGGTCCTCGGTCTTGAGGGACCCCATTTGGCTTCAACAAAAGCTTCACAAACGATGCTCTGATGCTGCCTACTCACCCGACATTGGGTCATAACGACGCCATACTTCTACTGCCGATCAAAAGGCTGCTTGCCAAAAAATGGCTGAAGGCCTGAGGGACAAGTGGGGCTTACAAAGCATATATCTATAGCAACTGCAGAATACAATGTTGGCGCTTCCAGAATATTGTTTCCAAAGCCAAACTCAGCAGCCAGCAGCTGTTTCACAGGCAGTTGCTAGGGATGTAGAAGCACTCACGCCAAACTATCCCATTGAGAGCTGTCCAATGCCAAGGAAAGGTCGCGTGATGCAGGGAGCGCCAGCATCCCACCCATGCCCACCCACAATGTTGGGGCTTGAGAACTTGGAATCGAGTTTGGGGTATGTTGTATAAGAACGACATATGGGTTATAGGGGCATATGACTGCCTTCTGCATTAAGCACATGAAGGGGAGGCTGCCTCCAAAACATAAAGCCCAGAATCCAGTCACTCTGAGAAGCGCATAGATGACCATTGCAGCTGTAGTTCTCACCATATGGGAGAAGTACTAAGATCATCAGAACGCAAAAGTAACCACAGCAACAACGCCCGGAACCCAAAACAATAGTCGTGAAGCCTGGGCTAGCTTGCACTTGCTACTTGCAAAAAGATCGAGCCAAGGCAACTCAGGTGTCCTCATGCCGAATCTTTCAATTTATTTTCGGCTTTATACTACATAGTGAAAGTTTCTTTGGTGACTTGCTGGGACAGTTTCGGATTCAGGCACAGGCGCCTGGTCATTGGGCAGCTTGTCGATGACCCACTGTCGAATCACCTTTACGCGTGCCAAAAGGGACTGCAGGGTTCCTACTCTGTGATTATCTTGCTGGTGCTCAACGGGGAATGACGGAGGGAATATACTTGCATTTGAAGGGGGATATATAACAAGGATGATGATAGGGATCCATTTCCCAACCCTCTATTAAGAACCGGTAAGTTATGGGCGTTGAGGTAAGCACCAACAAGCCGGCCAGCCAACATGCATGAAT